TCCTGGCTGCTCCACTTCCAATCCAGTTTCCTGCTAATGCACCTCAGAAGGCAGCGGAAAATGGGTCAAGTGCTTGGGCCTCTGCCACGTAGAGGGAGATCTAGATGGAGTTCCAGGCTCTGACTCTGGCCTGGCCCAGACCCAGCTGTTGTGTCCATTTAGGAAGTAAACTGGTGGTTGGAAGATCTCTTTGTCTGTCTCTCTCCCTCCCTCTCTCTCTCATCCTGCCTTTCAAATAAATAGAATAAATATTTTTTAAAAAAGATAAGTTTATTATCTTACAGTTCGGGAGGTCAGAGGCTGGACATGGTGTTCATTGGGCTGAAATGAAGGTGTCTGCTGGGCTTGTGCATTCCTTCTGGAAGTTCTAAGGTGAGAGTCTGTTCCCTGGCCTTTTCCAGTTTCTAGAGCTCACCTGAACTTCTTGCCTCCCAGCTCCTTCCTCTATGTTTGAATTCGGCAACATAGCACCTTCCAACATCTTTCTATGTGACTCTGACCCTTTGCTGCCATTGTCACATCTTCGTTTCAGACCCTGACCTCTTGCCTTCCTCATATAAGGATCCTTGTGATTTCATTGATCCCACCTGGATAATCCAAGATAACCCCCACCTCAAGATCCTTAATTTGATCATATTTGCAAAATCCTTTTTCACATGTATCTTGGTTTATTTTCTGATGGCTATAACTGAATACCATAGACTGAGTAATTTATGAAGAATAAAAGTTTATTTGGATCATGATTCTGAAGGGTGGGAAGATCAAGATTGGATGAACAATCCAGTGAGTTAGTGATGAGTCTTTCTTGGTGGTATAGACTCTCTGCAGAGACCCAAGGTGGCACAGGGCATTGCATGGCAACACAATGTGTCCTCACTCATACAGTCACAGTCGCATTGGGTTAAGTCCTCACCCTTAGGACCTCTTTTAACTTTTTTTTTAAAGATTTATTTATTTATTTGAAAGTCAGAGTTACACAGAGAGAGAAGGAGAGGCAGAGAGAGAGGTCTTCCATCTGCTGATTCACTCCCCAATTGGCTGTGACGGCCAGAGCCAGGAGCCAGGGGCTTCTTCTAGGTCTCCCATATGGGTGCAGGGACCCAAGGACTTGGGCCATCTTCTACTGGTTCCCCAGGCCATAACAGAGAGCTGGATGGAAAGTAGAGCAGCGAGGACTTGAACCAGTGCCCGTATGGGATGCTGGCACTCAGGCGGCGGCTTTACCCACTACGCCACAGCGCCGCCCCTCATTTAACCTTAGTTACCATCAAAAGGTCCTGCCTCCAATATCACAGATTAACTTTCCATCGTCTTTTTAAAATTTTTAACATTATTTCAGAGGCAGACAAACTTAGACAAACAGACAAACTTAGAGCTCCCATCTGTTGGTTTACTCTCCAAATCACTGCATTGGCTGGGGCCAAACAAGGCTGAAGCTGGGACTAGAAACTCAATCCAGGTCTTCTCCTGTGGATGGCAGGGGCCCAGCTACTGAGCGCTCACCCGCTACCTCCCAGGGTGTGCATTAGCAGGAATCTGCGTTCCAGAGCAGAGCTGGGACTTGAACCAAGACACTCTAACATGGGATGCAGTGGGATAGATGGCCCAAGTGGCATGTAAATCACCATGCCAAACATATGCCCCTGAGCATTGAATTTCAGCATGAGTTTTGGTGAAGGCATTCAAACCATAGTACCATGTAAGGCAACATATTCACAGATCTGGGGATTAGTACCTAGGCATCTGTAGAGGGCCATCATTCTTTCACTGTGCTTAATAATCCTCATTGTGATATGGTTGAGATCCATTGATCTAACTAAAGCTCTCTGTTCTGGCTTCCCCCTTCCTTCTGGTCTTAGGATGGGTAGTTTCTTCTTTATGGCTTGGGTTATTCCTGTTCCAGGGTACAGGGGCTGGAAAAGGACAGCCCAACCCCTGCCAGGCTGAGCTACTGGCTCCTGAGGGAAGACCATGAATTACCAGGCAGTGTGATGCAGGGAACTCATTAGAAGCTGAACTCTTTGTGCATCTTTGTTGTTTTTTGGGAGCATGTGATGTTTACTTTTGTGAGGCATCTTAAGTTGTTTTGGCCTTTGGGGTACATCCAAAGTCACTGAGACATTTCCCAGCTTCTGTGGCTATGTGGTCTCACCTAAAAAACAGGATATGTTGATAGGGGCTAGGCAGAGAAAAGGAACTGAGAGACTTCCAGCAGTGTTTCTGCCGTGGGCCTGCACCGCTAAAAGTTCATCCCCTTCCGTGTTGACTTGGCACACCCACTTTCCATTTTGCGCCTGAGCTTCACTCCCTCATCGTGCAGAAGGTGGCATCATGACCACATGTGTGCCGAGCTCTAGGTGGAGACCCCATAAAACCTTCTCAGAGACCGCTATGTGCACTGAACCCTGCCCAAACTCCATCCCATTTGTATATTCAATTAGGGCCCCACGGCCTGCCTTACAGATGCAGTAATCTGAACTTCAGCAGCAGGCAATGGCAGTGCCGGCAGACACCACTCTTCCCTCCGGGAGAGAGGCTTCCTGCGCTCACTTCTGAGTGTGTATTATATCCTTAAATGAACCCCGCTCTCATTTTTACACTTTATGTCTCTGCTTTGACTTCATCTCTCATGCCGAGGCAAAAACTTGGAATAAATACACCCCACCCCATAATGTTATCTGACAAAGGATTTTTGCTGTGCTTGGGGGAGTTGAAGGCGTTTTGGGAGATGAAATTTGGTTGAAGACACGTTAGAGTTTCGGGGAACATCCTGATAGTTTTTGGAGGATAATATAAACAAAGAAATAAAAGAAAGTAGAGGCTGGTGCTATTGCTGAGTGAGTTGAGCCACTGCATGTGATGCTGGCATTCCATATGGGGGCTGGTTCAAGCCTTGGCTGCTGCTCTTCTGATTCAGCTCCCTGCTGATGCACCTGGGAAAGCAACAGAAGATGGCTCAAATACCTGGGCACCTGCTACCCATGTGGGATACCCAGATGAAGTTCCTAGGTCCTGGCTTTGACCTGGCACAGCTCTGGCCATTACAGCCATTTTGGGAATAAATCATTGGATGGAAGATCCTCTCTCTCTCTTTCTTTGTTTCTCCATGTCTCTGTAGCTCTAACTCTCAAATAAATAAGTACATTTTTAAAAAGATTTATTTATTTGAAATAGTTACAGAGAGAGGTAGAGGCAGAGAGAGGTCTTCCATCTGCTAGTTCACTCCCTAGATGGCCACAATGGCTGGAGCTGAACCAATCCAAATCCAGGAGCTAGGAGCTTCTGGGTCTTCCATGTAGATGCAAGGGCCCAAGGACCTGGGTCATCCTCCACTGCTTTCCCAGGCATATTAGCAGAGAGCTGGATTGAAAGTGGAGCATCCGGGACTTGAACCAGCACCCATATGGGATGCCAGCACTGCAGGCTGGGACTTTAAGCTGCTGTGTCACAGCGCTGGCCCCAGTAAATTTAAAAAAAAAAATTAAAGAAAATACCTGTCATTTAATGAGTGTTCTATGAAGTGCCAAGTGATGTGCTGTGGCTTTTATACATGTTATCTTATTTAACCCTCACAACAATCCAGTGGAGGTAGAAATGATCACCTGGCATTACAGATTCCATCTCAAGGTGGTAGTAGTAGTCTCAGAATTCATACTCACACCTACAGCACCCAGAAGCCAGTGTTTATAAACTACTACCCTCACAGAAGTCCAGAACATGGGACCCCCATAAGGAGATGTGTCCTTGTGCTGCTATAGGGGTGTACCTGAGACTGGGTGATTTATAATGAACAAACAATTTATGGGTTCATGGTCCTGGAAGCTGGGGTGACAAAGATCAAGGCACCACATCTGGTGAGGGCCTTCTCGCTGCATCGGAGCACAGTAAAAGGCATCAAATGGGCAATAGAAAGAGAAGGGAAAAAGGCCAAAGTCATCCTTTGATCAGGAACTCTTTCCCCAGATAATGGCTTGGGGGTGGGGCTTTTATGACCTAGTCATCTTTTGGAGGACACATTCAAACCATGGCGAGAAACTAAACAATGTTACCTAGAAGATAAAAACCACAGCTGCAGATCCACAGGTGTCTTGCTTTTCAACCTCGGTGAGAGCCGCCTGATGACCAAGAGGGGTGATATTTACTTCAAAGGGGTTTTTAGGCTTCACCCTCCCATGTCCTCACTCCTGGACAAGACAGAGGATGGAGCTGGTTGGTATTTTCCTGGTATCAAGCACAAGTTTGAGGGAAATTGTATAAAAAGATACAGGTTGGGGTTGTTATTTCAAAGCCTGCCTTCTCTGGATCCAGCCTGCACCTAACACACCTACACCATCAGCAAGACTGGGAACAGAGAACTCCCAGGCTCCAAGCCTTGGGGTAGAGGTGCTGTGGGGAGGGGGCACCAGATGATATTAGAGAGGGGGGATGCCTCTGGAGCCTGAATAGTTGTGTTATGTATATGCCAACAGGCTCAGTTTAGCTCCTGCTGCTTCCTGTCAACAGTGCATCCATGGGAAGGGCTTCTGGGCTTGGGGTGAGGGGCCCAGTTCCTTTAGAAAGCGCAAACCTGACAGCTGAAGGGTCCCAGAGCAGCACATATCACCTTGCCTCTTCTCTTGGACCATTCCAACTGTCTGCTTTAGATTGACAGAGGCATCTGGCTGCTAAAAATACCCTACTGACCAAGTGTTCCCTATTTCAATGCAAGCTAAACACCGCTGCAGTCCAGAACTTGGCTTATACAAATAGTTCCTTCTTGCAAAGGAACTTTTTAAAACTTGTCAGAGCCAGTCCCAGAACCACACCAGCCCATGGTCATTTTTTGCTCTGGCAGTCTTACTGGATGGTGAATGAGACCTGAGTCAGACCACAGTCCTCTTGCCTGTCTCATCCTGGCCACCAGGAAAAGAGGAGGAGGGGGAGGTGAGGGCCCGGTGGCCGAAAGGGGGTAGGGAAGGGGCGGTGGCTTGTCCATTTATAGTCTTGTTCCTTGGGATGCTGAAATAGCAGCAGTGACAGGAGACTTAGCTCAGTGTTAAACATCCACCGTGTGGCTCTGCCGGGCTCTGAGATGACAATAGGGAGCATGGAGAACGTGGAGGTGTTCACTTCTGAGGGCAAGGGCAGGGGTCTGAAGGCCACAAAGGAGTTCTGGGCTGCGGACATCATCTTCGCCGAGCGGGCTTACTCTGCAGTGGTTTTCGACAGGTATGAAACGGGCAGTTTCCCTCTCCTCCCCGTGGGTTTTGTCGATGCCAAACTAAAACACTTTGCCTTCAGAATCATCAGAGCAAGGGATAAAATTCACATGGTCCTTTTTAGCAGCATAGCACTTCTGACCATTTCTGCCCGAGATATGCTGTGTTCCGAGAACGGCTGTCAGGTGAGCATAGGCTTGGGGCCACCCTCCCCTAATGTCCGTGAACTTGAATGAGAGTGTATGTCGTGGGTACGGTGCTGGGGGACATATTTTCTTACAGAAAACTTAACGTGCTCATCTTCCTTTAATATCATACATATATGAGAGGATGAAGTAATTGTGGAGGCGAAAAAAATTTGTTGTAATACCCAGGTAACACAGGCATCCATGTACCCTTTAAAAGTAGAATATCAGCCAAACCCAGTTCCCTTTGTCTTTCCTCAGAAGTAACTATGCTATGATTTTAATGTGCTAGCTTCAGGAATGTTCTTGTGTTGTTGTGTACAGCTATCTACAATTATCAAAATGGATAGTCATGTCAATTTATTTTTATAAAAATGGCTCCATATTTCATTTTAGAACTTGCTCTTTTCCCTAAACAGCTTGTATTTGATAACATTCTTGTGAGAACTATAAGTCCATAGATAGTTCTTTTAAATCCTTGAAGACCTATTTCTTTTCATTACATGTAGAACTACACATGTTGACCCATATGTTATATGGATCTCCAATTTTAAGTGCTGTAAATATTCTTTCCTATAAACACAGACTTTTTATTCATCCATTCCCCCATTAAGAAGCATTCTGCAGCTTCCAGTTCTCCATGAATGTAAGCAGTTAACTTGCGTGACTGTGTCCACTTGCGCACATGTGTGATTGCTCTCTAGGTAAGAGACTAGAAGAGGAATTGCTGAGGTTGCTGTTTTCATTTCTAGATCAGCTCTCCAAAGAGGCTTCGTTACATCCACATCCCCATTCCTGCACAACCTTGTCCACACTGAATGACTAAACTTTTAAATAAAGTGCTAACTTTTAAAAACAATACGTGATGATTACATGAAAATGATGCTATTTTCTGAGCCCAAAGTTGGGGTGACCTGCCTGACAGTTACATGGTCTGAATCACGATGGCGTTTGTGGTTGCCTGGCTGCAGCAGTCATCCTGGGAATGCACACTGCTTTTCAGAGACACTAGAGCAGCATTCAGATTGTCCTTACATGCTGCCCCGAGACCTTTGTGGGGCGGCAGGGAGCTGGCATGTATGGCTCTCTACCACCCATGGAAGGTAAGGGGCCAAGGCAACAAGTACAACTTTATAGGGAGTCTTCACTCTTTCATTTATTTATTTATGAGTGTGTCGGGGTGGGGGTGAGTGCAGTTAGGGAGTCAGCTGGCTTTGGAGTTAAAACACAAAAGTCCACAAACACACTGAAGGTGCACATGGATCTTGGTGTAGTCACTGCCTTGCCACCTGGCCCTGTGACGACACCTGCATTTCATACCTCCGATTCCCCAAAGCCAGTGTCCCAACATCATCAATCAGCTTCCCTTTCTATGATGTAAAATTTATGTATATAAAAATTATATATTAAAGTAAAAATTCTTTAGGAAATTTAGAAAGCAACAAAATAGTTCATCACACATGATAACTACTTACATAACAATTCGGGTGGTTCCTTCCAGCTTGTTTGTTTGTTTGTTTGTTTCTTTCTTTTTTTTTTTTTTAAAGATTTTATTTTTATTTGAAAGACAGTTACAGAGAGAGAGGTCTTCCATCCACTGTTTCACTCCCCAGATGGCCGCAGTGGCTGGAGCTGCGCCAATCCAAAGCCAGGAGCCAGGAGCTTCTTCCGAGTCTCCCATGCAGATGCAGGGGCCCAAGCACTTGGGCCATCTTCTACTGCTATCCCAGGCCATAGCAGAGAGCTGGATCAGAAGGGGAGCAGCCAGGACTAGAACCGATGCCCATATGGGATGCTGGCGCTTCAGGCCAGGGCATTAACCCACTGTGCCACAGCGCTGGCCCCCCGGCTTGTTTTAAGACAGAGGCTTTATTCATCCTATACACCTGGGATTCCTATGTTATAAGCTATGTCTTTTTCATGTAATAATTTAGATGTATCCTGAGCTGCTCCATGTCTGCCTTCATGGATACAGTATTTAAGGGCTGCATGCTCTTTTATCACTTGCTGATGACTAGACATTCAGATGTTTCCATGTTTTTGTTATCATAAATAATTCGTCATTCATTTGAAGCCATATCTGTGAAAAAAAAAAAAGCTGAGTGTACAATGCTGATAAAGTGCTATGTTAAATGGTATATTATCATGGCAGTAGTAATAAAAATTAGGATGACTGGGGTAAATGAGCTTTAAAATAATTTTTAAAAAATCTGAAAGAGAGGTTTTTAAATACTGTACTTAAACTTGTAATAGCACAGATGAGGGCTGTTCTTTCTTTGGTTGTCATTGAAATGGCCTGGAGAAGTGACAAAGCTTCAGCCACCGTAGGCTCTGGGTAGGATCAGTCCCTGTAGATGAAGAGCTTGCAGGGCCAGTGCTGTAGTGTAGCCGGTAAAGCCACCGCTTGCAGTGCCGGCATCTCATATGGGTGCCGGTTCATGTCCTTGCTGCTCCACTTCCGATCCAGCTCTCTGCTATGGCCTGGGAAAGCAGTAGAAGATGGCCCAAGTCCTTGGGCCCCTGTACTGCATGGGAGACCTGGAGGAAGCTCTTGATTCCTGGCTTCAGATCGGTGCAGCTCTGGCTATTGCGACCATCTGGGAAGTGAACCAGCAGATGGAAGACCTCTCTCTGTCTCTGACTCTCCTTCTCTCTCTCTGTGTAACTCTTTCAAATAAATAAATAAATAAATAAATAAATCTTTAAAGCAAACAAACAAAAAAACTTGCCTGGGGAAGGAGAACTGAGTCCCCCGCAAAAGTCACTCTATAAACATGAGGAAAGATTTGTTAGTTGAGCACTGCCTCCAAAGAAAATTAATTCTTTCAGGCAATATAAGTAATATATGTTACATGAACTTATATACATATACACTAACATGCTTTTTATGAAGCTTAGCAATAAATAAACATCTATGAAACCACCAACCAACTTAAATATAATATTCTAATTCATTTCATTGTCACTCTTTATCCTGTCCCATGCCTGCCCCAATGGTAACTACCACCCTAAGTTTTTTTTTTTTTTTGCTATTTTTCCACTCTTTCTTTTTCTTTTTCTTTTTTTCTTTTTTTTTTTTACAGGCAGAGTGGATAGTGAGAGAGAGAGAGAGACAGAGAGAAAGGTCTTCCTTTTGCCGTTGGTTCACCCTCCAATGGCCGCTGCGGCCGGCGCACCGCGCTGATCCGATGGCAGGAGCCAGGTACTTATCCTGGTTTCCCATGGGGTGCAGGGCCCAAGCACTTGGACCATCCTCCACTGCACTCCCTGGCCACAGCAGAGAGCTGGCCTGGAAGAGGGGCAACCGGGACTGAATCTGGCGCCCCGACCAGGACTAGAACCTGGTGTGCCGGTGCCGCAAGGCGGAGGATTAGCCTAGTGAGCCGTGGCGCCGGCCTATTTTTCCACTCTTTAAAAATGTATTTATTGGGGCCGATGCTGTGGCGCAGTGGGTTAACACCCTGGCCTGAAGCGCCGGCATCCCATATGGATGCTGGTTTGAGACCCAGCTGCTCCACTTCCAATCCAGCTCTCTGCTATGGCCTGGGAAAGCAATAAAGATGGCCCAAGTGCTTGGGCCCCTGCACCCGCATGGGAGACCTGGAAGAAGCTCCTGGCTTCTGGCTTTGGATCAGCTCAGCTCCGGCCATTGGGGCCAACTGGGGAGTGAACCATTGGATGAAAGAGCTCTTTCTCTCTCTCTGCCTCTCCTCTCTCTGTGTAACTCTGACTTTCAAATAAATAAATAAATCTTTTAAAAAAGTATTTATTTATTTGAGAGGAAGAGAAACAGAGATAGAGAGAGCTCCCATCTACTTGTTCACAACAGCTGGCAGCTAAAACCAGGAGCTGAAACTCAACCTGGGTCTTCCTTGTGGATGGCAGGGACCCTACTACCTGAACTAGCACCACTACCCACAAGGGTGTGCATTAGGAGGAAGCTGTAACCAGGAGCTAGAGCCAGGGACTGAGTCCAGGTACTGTGAGACAGGACTTGGGCATCCTACCCAGCAGCTTAACCTCTAGGCTAAATGCCCACCCTCTCTGCCTTTTTAGTAATAGTTTTGTTACATAGGGATATATTTGTAAACAATATAATTACTTATTTTTGGTGCTTTGTGTTTGATGTTTTAAACAACTGACAATATTATATGTTATTTATGCCTTTTGTTTATTTCACCCAAATGTTTGTTTTCTGATTGTATAACTAATACAATGAATAAACTCTGTATCGATCACAGTGTGTTTTTCCAATCTCCTGTGAATGGTTGCTATAAACATTTTTGTTCCTAACTCTTGGAAAACAGAGGGATGTGTCTTAGGAATGGACTTACTGGATCATTAACGTATGCGACATTCAGTTTTGTAATATAATGCCACACTATTGTACTGGTTTGAAATTTTGAAGGGTGTCTTTGCTAGAATAGGCTTAGCTTAGCATTAACAATAAAAATCCAGCACTTTGTACTACACTTCTTAGTCACGGTCCGTTTAACTTTGCTGGTTAGAAAGACAGCTGGCCTGATTAAAGGTAAAAGCAAAAGTGAAACTGGGAAATGTTTTCCAGCTCTGGCAAATATATTGCGTGGAGTTACCATGGTCTCTTGTTAACTGTGAGTCATGCGCACCTTCTTTCTGAACTCCACCTTGGCCTCAGATTCTTTTTCAGCAAAGTGCTCCAGGTGGCCACTACTGATCAGTTGGAAATGGCTTTTGGAATGAAGTATGTTTGCCACCCCTCTTACATGTTTCGGGTGGGTGCTGAAAGAGAGTGGAGGAAAAGGAGAATGGCAAGGTCAGTTTACCAAGGACCCGCCTTTCTTGC